AACAACTTGTTGTTGTAACAAGATTTGTTATTGAAACAAGACTAGTCAAGTCTTGAGAGTTGTACTTAGGTTACAAGCACTCAATTAAACTTGTGATTATAGTTAAAAATCTCAAGGGTGATTTTGAGGACTAGATGTAGTTGTTAGGCTGATCCAGGATAAATCATTGGTGAAAAAGCTTTTCTTCCTTAAGTCTCTTCTTATTTACTTCTACTTTTCTTCAAATCCAAAAAAATTAATTGTCACCCAATCCAACCCTTTCTTGGGTGCTAGCCATATCTAACATAGTTTCCATATACCCTCAATGTAATTTTACTTAGATTAAGATAAAAATTAATTTATAATATTAAAGTCATTTATGTTACTTTACAAATCTAATCCTCTTTCTTAATAAAAGAAATATTTGAACCTAATCTCTTTCAAGTACAAAAAAAAAAGGGTACTAATTATATGGGTAATTCTAGTACCCATATAGGGACAAATTTTAACAAAACATCACAATTTTTCTTTTTAACTAAGGGAGAATTTCAATAAAAATCCCTTGACCATACTTAATTACATTCAAAAACCTTAATTTTTTTTAAATTTCACTATAGACTAGGGGTACTAATTTGATATTAAATTTCTAAGGAAATGAGAAATTTCATTTAAATTAATATCAGGATTGCCCTACTTCACTTGTTTATTTACTTATTAAATGTTATTAATTGCCCTACTTCACTTGTTTATTTCCTTAAAATGAAATCAAATGAAAGTCTAGCAATGAACAAGTGAAGTAGGGTAATTGACATAAGTAAATGAATAACATACAGTATAAGAATTAATATGTTGTCTTACAATAATTTAAACACCTAAAATAAAAACAAGTTTAGTAGGGCAATTAATAATATTCCATGATTAAATGAACAAGTGAAATAGAGAAATTAACAAGTAAAGTGAGGAACTTCATATATTAATTTAAAGAAAGGGAAATTTTATTATTTCTCTCATAAATTTAATATCAAATCAATACCTCTAGATTGAAATAAAATTTCAAAAATTTAAGGGCTTTGAATGTAAATAAGTTTGGTCAAAGGTGTCCTTTATTGAAATTCTCCCTTTAACTAATTGTTTCCTCCACCAATTTCATATATTTCAATTAGAACTTAACTTTATCTCCCTAATTTGTCCAGACTTACAAGATTTTTGAAGCATAAGCTCAATGAAACATATTATTCTTTCTTTATTTCATATCATTTCTCCTCTCCTTATCTATGGGACCAGATACACAAGAAATTAGTGACAAACTTAGATAAAAATCTAAGCAAAGGAAAAAGAACATGTGTAGAGAATATATGTGTATATATATATATATATTGCCAACATTCTATATATGTGATATACAATTTACATATCATATTATCCAAGCCAAATAACTCAGGGTTTTGATACCAAGTTGTAAGCCACTATTTACTAATTAACCCACTAACACTCACCACTTATCCCACATCTTAATATGATCCCATCATACTTTTCATTCAATAAACATAATCATAAATTCATCTTTTATCCAAATAACTAACTATAGCCCTTATGGGCTTGTACTCAAAGAGTTAGTCAATTTAATCCAACATAAACACATACTGAAATACTATGCACTAACAGTTTTAGTTGGCAACATATAAATATACACAATATAAATCCTCTATACATGAACACTAAGGCATTACAGACAATTACCCATTGCGTGTCTCTAATTCCTTTTTCCCTTGCACTTACAAAGTGTCACTTGTAAAAACATTAACAACAGGGAGTGAGATAAAACTTTCAATGACTAAGGAATTCCTAACTTCTAATATATATTCAAATAGCATTTAAGGTTGTATAAGGATAATAGTCTCACACCCCAAACCACAAAATCCCATATAATACCACATATTAATATAAATATGCATGCATGATCATCTACCTCCTTATAACCTTCTTATTCCTTCTGACTGAGTCCATGGGCTACCAGGTGATAGTATTGAATCTAGATATCCTAACTTGCCCCTAAGCTCTCTAATATTTGAGGGGTAACTCAGCCAAAGGTCACTGCTTACCAAACTTGGACCATAGACTCCCTTGCCCATAAAGTGTCATATAATTGCCAGTATACATATCCACTCCTAGAGTGAGTATCATCAACTAAGTTAGAACCACACCTAATCCCTGTCGGAGTCGGTGCCATAGCCAAACAACTCAAAGCACTATCCAGATATTGTCCATGCCAGGTGGACTTAAATATATTCTTTCAGATCATAGGGCGAACTCCCACCTATTTATTCACACATGTATAACACATTTATGATCATGCTAGTCTCATATTCTCAATATTTTTACCGCATATACAAATCACATATTTCTCAATAATTTATAATTCTATAATAACAACAATTCATGATCCCACAACACTTCATAATTACACAATAATTCATCATTCCACAATAATTTATAATATATCACATTTAATATTCTAATCCATAGCTCAAGTTTGCAATACATATATCACATATACATACATCTTTTGTACATTCTCATATACATACATTCATACATACATATATAAAGTTCATGCTTACACATTTTTCCTCAAGAACATCATTTATAAAAAAAATATAAAATAAATGCTAGAATTAATATATGAGGGAGTTTAGGTTCCCGGTTACCTCCAGCCATTGAGTCAATCAAAAAGGCACTCAAAGAATGCTTTCATTGCACAATGGCCATAAAATATTAATCTATAATTAACATCATAGAATTCATCATTATTGGGCACAAGTATATACCCAATGCTACCTGTGGCTTAACATAACATTCTAAACTCATTTGGTTAACTAGTTTAGAGTTTTCATTAACTTTATTAAATTTTTTAGACTCGTAAAAGCCTATTAAACTCACTCTAAGTCTCCTTAATCTATTATTTAACTGTAAGGATTTTTTATTAGATTTAGTGCTTTAGGTTAAATCTCATATCAAGGATGAAGTTAATAAATTTTACATGAGGAAACGAATCAAAGATCCAACCATTAAAAATACCAAGTTGGATGTCATGGTCTAGATGACCTAATTTTAGACAGATCCAACAGTGAAAAAATTCACAAATGAACATTTACCAAGGCTATTTTGTGACAATGTGAAATGGTTGTTATGAATGGTAAAGTTAATAACTCTCTATTCAAACAACTAATAAATGATCTAGTTGTTAATAAAAAAGAATTGGATGTCTTGAACATGATGACCAAATTTAAGCACAATCAAATAGTGAACCAATTCAAAACATCGATTTAATAAGACTGCTTTGTGAAGATGCAAAAACAACTATTACAAATGACAAAGTTTATAACTCTCTAAGAAGGAAACTAGTCAACGAGTCAACCGTTGAAAAGGACGAATTGGATGTTATGAACTTGATAACCAAATTTAACCCTAATCCAACTTTAAACAAATTCATAAAGGTTGATTTATCAAGGCCGTTTTTGTAGATGCAAAAACAGTTTTCTCTCTACTTCTCTCTTGAATGGCTATAGCTTAATCTCGGGTATACTATTTCTCTCATGACCTAATCTAACCCCTATCTTCTCTATTTAGTGAAACTCACAATATATTTCAATATTGGGCCTTTCTTCACATAAGAAGGGTACCCAAACTTGTTAACCTTAGTTTTTCCTCAAAACATAATCTAATTATTAATTAAACCTTATAATTTTTATAAAATTTAATTCCAAAATAAAAACTTAATCATATATTTTTCTTAAATTAAATTCTCAAATAAAAATAGAATGTTACACCCCTTTTGTTATTGTGTAGGGTTAATTATTGTATTTATAGTGATTATTGAAATGATAAAATATTTCTGACAATCCTTTTGATTAGTTATATTACTTTAAGCACTAGAAATTCTATTTTTGAAATTAGTTTGAGCGTGCACCATCTTATCATAATATACAACTTAAATATACAAAAATATTCATATTTAATTATGAAAAATAGTAATATTCAAATAAAGAAATCCTTAATTCTCAAGTAAATGAAAATTTCATCCATAAAATCTTATTCATGTCTTAGACAAATATTAATTATAAGTTCTTTACTAAAAAAACATTAATTATAAGTTTCTAACAATAATAAAATATAATACCATTAAAAATATTAATTGAGAAATTTAGATTCAATTTATGGTTCAATATTTAGAAGAGGAAAGAGAGAAAAAAGGAGAAAAATAAATAAAAGTAACTCGATTCAGCCTATTAACTTGGTTGGGTTGAAGCCTGGGTTGGTCTCGAATTGACTAGTTTATAGCTTCCTTGATTTAACATATCAACTAGACTGGCCTAGTGATTAGTTCATATGGTTATTGATCTAATTAGCGATCTAATTAGCTGGTCTGGTTTTTTGTTCCATTAGTAAATAAAATATCAACACAAAATCATATCACACTATATATTTAAATTTATGATAAAAGCATTGTAATATGTTATTGATATCTTCAAGACTTCAACCAATTTAACCAAATATTAAATTAAATAGTAATTAAGTAATTGTAAATTAATTTAGCTAAATAGCTTCATTAAATTGTTCAGCCCATCAAAGACTCATCTAAAATTTAACAGGTGTCATTTTGGTTTTCAAGAATGGTTAATTAAGTACATATCTCACTTTCAATTATTTTACACATATTCAGAAAATATTTTTTTTTGATATCATAAAAAAAGTGAGATGTACTTTTATTTTTATCCTTAATTTTAAATAATAATACAACTATATCTACTATCTTTATACTAATTAAGAAGAGGTAAAACTGAAAAAAAGTAATTTAATTACTATAAAATATTTTATATTTTTTATTAAAAATTATTTTTAAGAGATGTCTTGTAAATAGTGCTAGTGGGGGTAAAATAGAAAGCAAAGTGAAGTTCTTTGTTGGACAATAATAATTAAGCTAATGGTCAGATATCTAAGGCCCAAGTGCGGAGCTACCCAGTTTTACAAACTCCGAGGCAGAAGCAGCATCACACGTCGAAGATAAGGTTAAAACTCTTGCTCTAAATAAAATACAAATCACGAAGCGCCTATCGTGCAAAGACTCTGTGGAGAGGTGATGAAGAGCTAGCTATAGCTATGGCGAAATCTGGAAATCTGGCATTCACAGTTTTGAATTCATCACCTTCTAATTACTTAGTATCAGCGATTAAACCCAGAACCAAAACTCTCAGCATCATTCAGACTACTTGCAATTATGTTATCGCTGCCACTAGTTCTTCTAACAAAAGCAATAAGCAGCTCCACTCACCATTGGTACGTGCCTATTATATAACTTCTTCATTATCGATTGATTTCTCATATATAGCTTACTTGTTTAGTCCTTTAATTCTTGAATTTACATCTTCGTTCTCGGTTTGAAATTCTCTGATCGTGAGCATGGCTTCTCTGCGGTGAGTTCAGATCGTCGAATCTTAATTCTATGGTTAAAGAAATTAATTATCAATGATGATAATGGCTTGATCGGTACCAAGTAGATGCCAATTATTCTTTTTCAGTGTAACTATATGTTTTAACCAAGCATCGAATATATACGGTGATGTTAGTTATAACTTATAACTTCATTAGAATGGAATACTTCCAAGTTCCAACGTTATCCAAAAAAAAAAAAAAAACTGGAGTACTTCTTTATTTATTGTGGAAGATGTCCTGTGCTGTCCGAGTGTGGCACGTATTAACCCACGTACATGCAGTTATTATTGATTAATTTACTGTGCTTTTTTAATTTTAAATTTTAAAATTTGATTGAGTGGGGCAAAATTTAGCTATCAATAAAATAGGATTTGTATTAGAATTTAGAAATACATGATCATATACCATCAATTAGTTATTAATTCTCATTAAATATGTCCATATTTTGAATCATTTTCTAAAATTACCCTTCCTCGCTCAAAGTTTATTAAACTAGGCCGAACAAAAAGTTTGTCAAACTAGTTTAGTTTTGTGAATTTTTTCTATCCACTTAATTAAATATACTTAAGAAAATCAAGTAACTAATGATTTAGAAATGTGTAAAATCTCATCAAAAAGGGTTAAATTTTTTTTAAAAAAATTTCTTATAAAAAGCCTAATTGATAACTAAATTTTAAAGGCGTTAATTAGTACATGTCATATTTTATTTTTCTCCCTCATAGTATAAGATTATAAATTTCATAATTTTTCATGGAAAATATAATTTCTATAATGAATTTAATATAACATATAAATATATTTTTATATACTAATTATTAATATTTTTTATAAAAATTTATAAATATTGCCCCTACTAGGCTAAGGCCCCTCGCTGCATATAAGATTGAGGAACTGCAAAATGGATTAAGAGTAAAAAAATAAACTAAGGTGTAACAACCAATTGAAGTTAAGGAAATTTTGTAAGATTCTTACAACTTTTGTAAAATATGGTTGATAGTTGACAATTAATTAATTAATAGTTGATTGTCTCGTTATTTTTGTAATTATCATTTTTCACAATTTACTATTTATAACCTTGGTATATTTCATTAGAATCAATAAAAAAATTTAAAACATTTTAATTCATTATAAAAATTAATTAATTTTTAATTTTTCCATCCATTAAAAATACATATTTTAATCATGTATCTGTAAAAGTCGTCAACCGGAGCGTGGTTATATTTTTCTTTTCATTTTGCATTCTTTCAATTATACTCCGTATGTTAAAATAATATAAAGTATTTTTTAAAAAATTATATATTAAAAATGTAAATTATTTTAAATTTTTAAAATATAATTATTATCTTTTTATTAAAAGTACTTCTATTAATAAATATCTTTATATTTATTGTAAAGTATTTAATAAAAATAAATATAAAAAAATATAATTAATTTAAAAATAAGTAAATATTTTATTGAATAGTAAAATTTAATTAAAAATATTTTATGCTTTAAACGAAGGGAGTGCACAATTACATGTGATATGTACGAAAACAAAGGAATATCCTAAATCTTTGCCCTGCTCGTTCCTGTGTCCGAACAGAGGTTCTTTAACTAACCTGATTCTTCCCTTCTATTTGATATGTCTTTAAAATCATCAAAGATTTACTCGTTTTTATAGTCTTCGTGTTAGAAATTAGGATTTGTATCTTGTAATGAGCATATTCATTCATTCGAATTGTTTAGTTTGATTGTCTGTTGAGCGGGTTTCGGCGGGTTGAAGGGTGAATTAGGCATTACTGGAAGAGTTAAAGTTAAAATGGCCAATAACAAATATATTTTTAACAGTTGTGTGAAGCATGACAAAATGGAAGAAGCTGATAATAACCTTTTCCAATTCCCATAATCCTGAAATTAAGGAGCATTGATTGTAAAGTGAACCTGATGAAAATCAAGTTGTATCATCAAAGGAGAACCATTATTAAACCAGTGAACAACACTTCGTTACTTGTCTAGCGTTTTCTTTCTTCGACAATGTATCTTAATTTGTGTTTTAGTTTGCTAGCCTCTACTCTTAACCAAGGAAGCACCAGTTTTGTTTTCTTTTTATGAACACTGTAAACTGGTACCTTTTCATATATGTTATGAAAAGCCAAACTATGATACTGTCTTTACTTTAGATATTCCAGTGTGGGGAGTCCCTATTCTTTGAGCATCAATCAAAGAACTTGCGTGATCTATTCCAACATCAACATTCTGTATATGCATAAAACTTGCCCTGATTATAATATGATGACAGGCTAAATGACTCCATCCACATTTTCTTGGTCAATTAATAAGCCTGATGTATGTAAAATGTTTTAGTGGCAAACTAAAGCTTTTATTACCAATAAGTTCAATGTAAAATATTTTAGTGATGACAAACTATCTTCAAGTAAATTTAGTGGCAGCTTTCATCATCACAATGACATAGTAAAGCTGCTTGAAGCAAGTTAAGTAGTGACTTATTTTTCCATTGATAAAATAATCTATTTAGCTTCTAAGCTAAACCCTTTGTATTTACCACTTATTTTTTGCTGCATGACAGATAGGAAAGCCAAGTAGAGCACCACGTCGTCTAATCACAGTATCAACGAGTGATGGAAAATGGCATGGTGAATGGACAAGTGATTACAAATTGTCTTTGCAGGACCTACAATTACAGGATTTGGTTGAGGTTGAAGAAGACAAAAAGAAAAATGCCCAAGTGTTGGTCAGCCTTAGCATCCAAAAGGTTCTTCCTCTTTTGATTTTTTAACATATATGTCTCTAGGCATCATGTAACATATTTTCTCTTAATTTTTTATTATAATAATTTACTAACAAGCTTTGAATAGTATCAGTGTAGAGATTGTTTATTTCAATTGACCATAATATCGTATTTAATATTTATTGCCTGCATATTACAATGAACTAGCATGCTAGCTTTGGCTTGACAGTAGATGGAAACATTGTGACATCATTCACTCGAAAATGCAGTAATTGCTCTTCACCTTATTGCCGACAGGTACCTTATTTCCTCTCATGATAAATTGCTGCTTTTTTTTTTTTTTTTAAGTTTAAAGCAATATTTATGAAAGTTAAGTTTGGAGAACAAATCATATGGTTTTATAATGTATTGTTGGACATGTTTAAATAATACATATGATAGAATAGCCTTGATCTTAAGTTGGCTAGTTGCTCAATTCAAAAGGAACTTAGGGCATTAATTTTTTGTGTTTCCATTATTTACCTTGGCAAAAATCAATAGGATGATTTAGTTGATTCCATTGGGTAGCGTATTATGGTCCATGACGAAAAAAATATGAAGTTGCAGTTTAAAATATTTGCCTTCACTACCATGTTCTTAGGTTTCCTTGAGCGGTGGCTGTAGAGCTTTTGCTATTTATAAGAAGTCCCCAGCTTGATGTGCTCACCCCAAATTCAATTTATAACATCCTATGTCCATCTAGAGAGCATTTTAAGACAATAAAATGATTCTCTTAAGCTTGAATCTTGCTTAACAAGCAATGGCTGGAAAGCTGACCTATATTTGATTTTGATCATTTTGACATTTGGAACATTAGAGGGATTAAACTCATGAGCCACACAATGAAATTGTGGGAGAAAGTAATTGAGCACAGGTTGAGATTGGAGACAAGTATTTCTGAGAATCAATTTGGTTTTATGCCAGGTAGATCAACTACAGAGGCGATTTATCTACTAAGGGGATTAATGGAAAAGTATCGTTGTAAAAATAAAGATCTACACATGGTTTTTATTGATTTGGAAAAAGCTTATGACCGTATACCAAGAGAAGTGCTTTGGAAAGCGTTGGAAAAAAAGGGAGTACGGATTGCTTATATTAAAGCCATACAAGATATGTATGAGGGGGTAAAAACTAGTATAAGAACGCCTAGTGGTCAAACAAAGGATTTTCCTATAAAGATTGGGCTACATCAGGGATCATCTCTGAGTCCTTATTTGTTCAACTTGATTTTAAATGTTTTGACGGAACATATTCAAGAGGAAATCCCGAAATGTATGCTCTTCGCGGATGATATAGTTCTTATAGCAGAGACAAGAGAAGAGGTTAATTGCAAACTTGAGTTATGGAGGAGGACATTGGAGTCGAAAGGTTTTCGTCTGAGTAGAAGTAAGACGGAATATTTATATTGTAAATTTGATAAAGGACTATTCGAAAATAATTTGGAAGTGAAATTGGGAGATCAAATTATACCTCAAGTGGAAAAGTTTAGATATTTGGGAGCCATTATCCAAAATGATGGCGAAATCAGTGGAGATATTTCACATAGAATTCAAGCTGGGTGGTTTAATTGGAGAAAAGCTAAAGGAGTTATTTGTGACCGTAAGGTGCCTAATAAACTTAAAGGAAAGTTTTATCGTACTGCTATCAGACCGGCAATGTTATATAGTAGTGAATGCTGGGCTCTAACGGGACAGCAAGAGCATAAAGTTGGAGTAGCAGAGATGAGAATGTTACGATGGATGTGCGGACATACACGTAAAGATAAAATTCGAAATGAGCACATACGTGAAAAAGTGAGGGTGGCACCTATTGAGGAAAAAATGGTAGAAAATCGGTTGAGATGGTTTGGGCATGTACAAAGAAGGCCAAGGGAGGCACCAGTGAGAAGAGTGGAACATATAACTTTGAGTCCGATTAAGAGAGGTAGAGGAAGGCCTAAGAGAACACTCTTGGAAGTTGTTGAACGTGATCTCTTAATTAATAATATTTCTAAAAGCTTAATAAATGATAGAGCACAATGGCGTCTTGCAATCCATGTAGCCGACCCCACCTAGTGGGATAAAGGCTTGTTGTTGTTGTTGTTGTTGTTGTTGACATTTGGAACATTGAAATTGAGTTCTAGAACATGAGAAATAGATGGATCAATTTTATGACATGTTATTTACTCAATCAACTTGGATTATGATGGTCTCCATTTCTATTAAATTTTACAGATTGATGCAAAATTTAAAGTATGGATTCTCTTGGCAAGCAGAGATAATCACAATATACAACTTCCTGATATTGGCGGTGACCCTTCTTTAAGTCTCCAACCCAATCTATTTATTTTGTCAATTTTTTTGGTATTTAAATGGTATCAAGAAAATATGTTGGAATGTTTGGTGTATATAAAGGCATAAATTTATGGCTTGGTGATGGATGAACCCAAAAAAGGCCAATTGAAAGAAAATTGCAATTAACAAGAAACAGGATTGGGGTTATTTTATATTAATTTTAAGATAACTAGGATTTTTAAATAAAGTTATTTTGTTGGGATATCTAGAATAACTTCTAGTTTAATTAAGTTTTATCTTATCTCATAGGATTTCTTAGGATTTATCTTTTATCTTATCATTTAGAACTGGAATTATATTATTTTAAATAATTATACCGAGGGCTCTTTAAATAACCTGAGGGTTTCATCAATTGTTAGACTTTGTGCCACTGGAATAATATTGAGTATTTAGAATATTCCTTCTCTCTCCCCCTTTCCTTTCACTGTTTTAAATCACACAGAAGACCAAAAACATCATTACTAACATTTGTCTCTAGCCAGTTCGCCATTCAACTTCCTTATATATTACTAAACAACATTGTTTTAAATGAGGAACGTTTCTGATTTGCAGCTGAGTCCATTCTTAATGAGTTAGACAGACACTAAAGAGTATACTCTACCTCCAGCGAAACCTTGTAATGCTCAATATTACCAAGAAATTTTCAAACCAGTAAACATGCCACAACCACAAGTCTATGCTTCAAGCCTTATTGTTTTGTTGGATCAATGGTAGCCCTTTTAGTGTTTATGATATTTGCATGGGAACATTAGAGAATAGAGTGGAGCAAGGTTGATGGGAAGAAACTCACACAGCCCAGAACTTTGTACATAAATCTAACAATTTGAAAATAAAAGAAGATATGATGAAGGGAAGAAACTCCACCTTGTTACATGACACAAATTGTTAGAGACAAAAAGCAAGGTGGTTTAGGTATGAAAGATCTTGTAAAACAGTACAAGACCTTCATCCTCAAACTCTGCTGGAATGTGCTTATGAACAAAAAAATAAGCTCTATGGATAAGGGTGGTGAAGGCAGAGCACAGTTGCTGGGAGGATGAGTTATCTCAGGTACATAAGAAAAAGAATGCATCATAGACTTAGAGAAGCATATGCACAGTGTGGCCACTAATTTTTACAAGGTCTTGGGAGAAGGCTAGTCTTGGGGCGGTTGAAGACTCTGTTTTGGTTGGATACATAGATGAACTTCAAAAACCTTTGGCTGATATAGTAGATAGCCAAAATAATATTTATGACATCTATGAAAAGTGGATGATTTTTGGCTCCCCACGCTGATTTGGGTATGGACAAATTAAACTCTTGTCTTTTGGTCTGCATTACCAATGAGATTACTTGCACTCGCATTCAATTTGAGAGGAGTGGTGCAGATAAATATTTTTGGAAATCATCCTGGGATGGTTTTGTTTCTTTGTTAAGTCTGCCTATTTATTTCAATTTGAAGGTACACTGCGTCGCAGAAGTGAAACATGGAGAAAGATTTGAAGAAAAGCTCTACCAAAGAAGATGAAAACGTTTTTGTGGCTTTTGGAACATGAGAATTCATATTGCATTTCTTAGAAATAGAAGAGTACTTGCACAGACTGGCAGATGCCTGCTAAGATGTGCAGAGGAGGAAACAATCATGCACATGATTGGAGGCTGTCCGCATGTAAAGGAAAAGCGGAAAAAGTTAGTGATGTCAGATTTGTGGCCACAATATTCAAACTTGGGGAGTATAACAGTGGCTAAAGCTCTGTTTGGTTGGAGGTAAATGGAGGGGAGGGGAGGGGAGGGGAGGGGAGGGATACCATTTCTTTCATTTGGTTTAAAATTTTTGGAGGGGAGGGGAGCCAAAATTTTGGCTCCCCTCCCCTCCCCTCCCCTTATTTTGGATCCCTCCAAATTGGGGTTTTTTTGAGGGAGAGCTAAGGTGGAGTTTCATATTAGAAGCAAGAAGAATCTTCACCTAGTCTGTATCGTGGAACATTTTATTCTTTTATGTTTGTTGGGATATCTGGGTCTTGAGATGTAAAAAGGCCTTTTGTAATGAGGTTAACCATACTGTAAGGATTATGCTAGATAGTTCTCCAGGGCAAGAATGATGGGTAATTTTGAGAACTCAATCAGATCTACTGTGGGGACGCACCTGTTGAGACAAAAAATGAATGTTGTTGAGCTACTTTAACCTAGAGATTGATGGAGCAGGAGCAGTCAAGTTTAATGAATGAAGCTCATGTGGTGGAATAGTGTTGGGCTTTTGCAAGATAGTGGAACTTTGCCCTCCTACCTTTACAGAGATAAAACGCATTATAGCTGGTTTGTCTTTTTGCCCTCCTACCTTTACAGAGATAAAACACATTATAGCTGGTTTGTCTTTTTGCTGGTAAAGGGGGATCAAAAAATTGCAGGTTTTATCAGATTGTGCTCAGGCAATCTGCTTCTTAGCTAGAGAAGCCATGGGTGACCATCCTTTAATGCTATTGAGAAAGTCAGGGAACGAGTTACTAGAGATTGGCATGTATTCTTTTGTTTCATTTCCAGAGATTGTAATTATAATGCAGATTGTAACCTCTCCCCATTTCAAACTGTTATCTCTTCACTAAATCGATATAAGGAGGGGTTAACTCAATCACCATATCAATTTACCAAACTGAAATCAAATAAATTTATTTAGAAAATGCTTGGGAACCCAAGACTTCCTTGTGAAAATCATTTGAAATCAGTTACATATCAGATAGTACATAGCGAAAGACATTAACCATGCATTCATCACTCACAACAAAAGATTCAAGTCAAGAAATACATACAGAATAGGGGTGGTGTGGCACAGAGCCACGGGCTCCTTGCTTGTGCCATGTGTCGCGGCTTGTTGTACCATGCGCCGTAGTGCACATAACATATTTTACTGTCATTATGACAGTTAACGAAAGTGAATTTCTTGCATACATCGTTTCCACTTGTGATGTTTGATCAGAGTGATTTAAGCCCCCACACGTAGCTTACTTCATAAGCTAACCAATAAGATAAGTTTGGACACGATCCAATGGTTTGGTCTAAATTTGGATACTCGGGTGCGAAAAGCTACTTTTCTCAAAATTTTCATGCATCAAAGCATTCAAATCGTATACCTTGTCTAATCCATTTTGAGTTTAGAACCAAGTCTAAAAGAATTATTTACACCTGATTGAATAGTTTTCATGACACACACACACACACACAGATTTGGCCATTTAATCACCTATTTACATAATTAAGGGTTGTTTATACAACTTTATACAAAAGCACTCTCTAGGCCATTCAATTCACAATTTCACCATAATATCATCACTACAAGTATACTTACACATGCACACTTTTATACAACACAATCCTAATCCCAAGTCATCTTTTACCACAATTGAGCTAGGATTCACATATCACTACAATTTCACTACATGCTCACTACTTACATGTTCTGTGGATTTTTGGAGAGAATAATATTTCTTATATTCATATTTTGATGTACAAATAGGTCCCATATATATACATTAAGAGAGATAAAGTCTAATAAATAATAATAAAGCCTAATAAATGATACTAATAATGTAATATTCCCACACTCCTCAAGTTAGATAATAGATGCTAATTATGTCCAACTTGGTTATACAACTCTCAAAGGCAGGCTTAGGTAGCCCCTTGGTTAGCACATCCGCAGCCTATAACTTTGTAGGTAGGTATGTCAAGCATAGACTACCTTCCTCTATTTTCTCTCTGATAAATGTCTATCCACTTCAACATGTTTAGATCTCTCATGCTATACAGGATTTAACGCCATGCTTATGGCAGCCTTATTATCACAATACAACTTCATTGGTGGATCTACTCTGACTTGTATTTCTTCCATGACCCTTCTTATCTAGAGTTCTTCTGTAATTCCTTGAGCTAATGCTCTTAATTCTGATTCAGCACTGCTGCTAGATACAACTCTCTACTTTTGACTTTTCCAAGTTACTAAGTTTCCCCACACAAACGAGCAATAGCCAGAGGTGGATCTCTTGTCTCTATAGGTCCCCCCCAATATGTATCTGTATAGATCTCAATTGTCCTTTGAATGCTTCTTAAATAGAAATCCCTTACCAGGTGTACCTTTAAGGTATCTAAGAATCCTGTATATAGCTTCCAGGTGTTTCTTTCCTTGGATCGCACATGTATTGACTTGCTACACTGACAGCAAAAGCAATATTTGGCCTTGTATGGGATAGATAATCAGCTTCCCAACCAGTCTTTGATATTTGTCTTTATCAATAGTTTTCTCTTTTTTCCTTGCCTTCTTCTTCTTCAACCTCATCATCAAAGTTGTCTTCTCCTTCTAACTCCTCCTTACTATTTTTCTCAAACTTCTTCTTTCTCGAGACCACAATAGGAGTTTCCTTTGGTTTACAACCTAACATGCCAGTTTTCTTCAGAAGATCAAGTACCTACTTCCTCTAAGACATATATATGCCTTGTTTTGACCTCGCAACTTCCATCTTGAGAAAATATTTTAAGTTCTTAAGATCCTTGACTTTAAATTCATTACCTAGGACACTCTTTATCCTTGCTATTTCCTCAACATGATGTCCTGTAAGAATTATATCATCTGCATATACAATGAGGATGCACTTCTTGGCTCTCTCAGTCTTAACAAACATTGTATGATCTAATAATTCTTGTTTATAGCCTTCTAACTTTGGAACCTTTGAAAATCTATCAAACCATGCTCTAGGTGACTATTTCAAGCCATATAGGGATTTCTTCAACCGGCATACTTTGTCACTTCTGCCTCTATCAAATCCCGAAGGTGAATTCATGTAGACTTCTTCCTTCAATTCTCCATTTAGAAAGGCATTCTTGATATCTACTTGATGGAGTGACCATTCAAGGTTAGTTGCTATTGACAATAGAATTCTAATAGTATTTAGTTTTGCAACTAGTATAAACGTCTCTTTGTAATCTATACCATATGTTTAGGTAAAATCCCTTGCTACTAATCGTGCCTTTAACTTGTCAAGTGTGCTATCAGCCTTATACTTTGGGGTGAAGACCCACTTGCAACTAATCAATTTCTTACCTCTAGGTCTTTAACAATCTCCCATGTTCCATTTTTCTCCAAAGCTCTCATTTCCTCCATAACTGCATTTCTTCATTTTGGTATTCCCAGTGCCTCTTGGATGTTGTTAGGAATAACAACTTTATCCCAAATTAGTGATGAAGGCCTGGTAACTTAGAGAGAGCACCTTGTAGGATACATGCTTCTGAATCGAATGTAAAGTACAAGATTGAGGTTGTTTTTGGAGAGCAATGGGTAGATCAAGATCAATAGGTTCACTTCCTTGTTCCGAATCATCTGGCTCACTGGATGGATCTGTCTTTGGTACATCAACTCCAAGAACTACCTTAGGTTCTAACTTTCTTAGTGCCTCAGGTATAAGTTGCTCACTATCTTTGGATTTCTTTTTTTGAGTGTAAACCAATAACTCTCCCTTTTGTGGTCTTTCTACATCTTCCTTTGCTTTATTGTTTTTCTCTCAAATTTTGGCATAAGAGAAGAGGTTGGTGTTGATGAGGGTGATGGTTCTATTATTGGAGGTACTGGCTCAAGAAATACATATTTTATTGTTTGGTTTGGGTTCTCAAGTCTGAGATTCACCTATGTTCTCCCTTTAAATTGAATAATTGGGATAGAATAGAGTAGCTTTATGAAAGGTGACATCAAGACTAACAAACGTGTGTTTTGTGACAAGGTTAAAACATTTGTATCCTCTTTAGGTAGGAGAATAGCCAAGGAATATGCACTTGGTGGCTCAAGATTCAAGTTTGGTACTTTGGTGGTTATGGACAAATGCTGCGCAACCAAACACACGAAATGGAAGATTGGTTTCAATATGGGTGGTGGAGAAATACTTTGCAACTTGTGGAGAGGGGTTTCAAAAGATAAGACCTGACTAGGCATACGATTGATAAGGTAGGTTGCGGTTAAATGGCATCCCCTCAATAAAACTTAGGCACATTACAGGTCAACATGAGTGCTCTAGCAACGTCAAGAATATGGCAATTTTTCCTTTCTGCAACCTCATTTTACTAGGGCATATGAGCACAAGAACTGGAATGCACGATACCATGCAATTGGAGAAAGGTATTCAAAGATTGGTTAAAGTACTCAATGCCATTATCGGTGTGTAAAACTTAGATGGTGGTATTAAACTGGGTTTTGATCATGTTGAAGAAATTTATGACATGGATGTAGCCTTAGATTTGTTTTGTAAATGGTAAACCCAACAGATGCGAGTATGGTTATCAATAAAGGAAATGAAGCGTGTCACTTTAGTATGATTGGGTGTACGAGATGGTCCCTACAAGTCACTATGAATGGTTGTGAAAGATTTGGTAGGTGTGTGTTTTGCTCTGGGAAAGGACGTTCTATGGTGTTTGGCAGGCTCACACACTTCACAATGAATGTTATTAATATTCAAGTTGGGACATAAAGTTAGGAACAATAGTTGAAGATAATGGAAATTAGGATGATCCATCCTCTTATGCTACAACATAAAATCATTAACTTTAGAGGAGGATGCAAAATTACCAACAATTGAGGAGTTACTTGCTCGGGTAGAGACTTTGAAATAGTAGAATCCTTCACACTCCTTAGCACTTTCGATTGTCACCCCTGATGACAGATCTTGAAACACACAACAAGATGGGAGAAATTTAGCATAATAATTTAATTGCTTGGTCAATTGGCTAACTGAGAGATAAATTACAATCAAGTTTAGGCACAGGAAGTATAGTTTCCAGCACTATAGAATCCGAAACCCGAATACTCCCTTTTCCCGCTGCAGGTGCTAATGAGCCATTTGCAATCTTGATTTTAATATTCCCAGCACATGAGGCATAAGTGGTAAACAACTCATGGCAATTAGTCATGTGATCAGAGGCTCCAAAGTTAAACAATCCACACTGTTCTATTACGTGATGGTGTTAAAGCTTGAAGGAAGGAAGCCTTTTTCGCCGCTAATGCAACAGGTGTAGTTTTGGCAACTTTTAATATGAGACATAGGAATATTATTATTCCTATAATGTTAGACATAAATCGACTCCCATACTCGAGACACATTAGACATCACAGACCCATTAAAATAGGGAAGTAGTGCGGAACATACTGGGATAAAGCACGAGTCCATGAACGAAGGTTGCCCAGACGAAGGACATACTGGGATCTGGCTGGAATCTTCAAGCTGACGTCGGAGGAAGTCATCAAAGTTGCATCGGACCACACACACTCCCCCATTCGCCAATGAAGCATCTCTAGCGCCGAACACTGTTGGGGTACATGTGACTCGCACACGCCACTGTTGGTTGTGATCTTTCTAGGTTTGGCTGATCGAAGTCTCCTCTTCCTTATGGGGCTGGCAGTGAAGGTCAACAAAGCCTCTAGCAGTACTCGTATGAACACCCAACAGTATTGTACAGGATGCAATATGTGATCCATAACCTAAAAACCCTAAAAAATTATTTTTGAAATTTTGCTAGCATGGCTCTGATACCATGTGGATTTTGGAGAGAATAATATTTTCTTATATTCATATTTTGATGTCCAAACAAGTCCTATAGATATATATCAAGAATAAAGTCTAATAAATAATAAAATGCCTAATGAATG